GCTTCGACTTTGGCTTTGGATTTGGATTTGGATTTGTCAAATGATCAATCGGTAAGATTATTTTTGGACAAAATTTATTTAATTATTTAATAATTAATTAAATGCCAAATCACTGCTGAAAATACGCCAGAACCCTGCTGAAGGTTTAGAGGGCCTCTCTGGCCGCGGTAGAACCGTGGCAGGCAGGTTCAGAAAGCCTCTCTGACCGCGGTTCTGCCGCGACCGCGGTAGAACCGCGGCAGGCAGCGTATTCTTCTGAAAAGGCACCTTTTCCAGACACCTCTTCTGATAATTGCCTATAAATTCTGAGGCAAGGCTCCATTTTCTACACACGAAAAACACTCCAGAACTTCTTTCTTTCTGAATATACTGCATCCTAATTCGCAGTCTCTCTCTCTCAAATTCGTAAGTGTGATTTTGCTCCGTTCTTTGAGTTCGTTGGTATCCTGCAGTTTATATTGCCACTGTTGCAGGAAGGTTTATTCCGTTTTATCCTGGGAGGATTTAATCCATTACCTTGGCAACGTGTGAGGGGGCTAAAATTCCTTAAGGACACACAAGAAAATTGTGGACTCGGAATATTTCTGATCCTCTACTATTTTCCAGATTTCTTTAATTCTTCTAACAGTTTGTTTTCCTGATTTTGTGTTTTAACACAGTAACGCTCATAAATAGGACAACCTTGGAGAATTATTCTATGTTCATTGATACAAGTCTTTGAAAGACTTAAGCACATAAGAGTGGGTTTTGAGAGAGCTTTCATCAAGAGAGAAGAGAGAAAAAAAGTATTTGTTCTGCTGCAGATTTTTATTCCGACCAGCCAACTTCAAATCACGTTTCCGATTCGTTAACCGTTGGATCGGGCTGAAATTTTGACTGAGTGTTCGTAACATCTTGGTCTTGGATTTGAACGGTGGAGATCGGATTTGGAGGCTCGTAGCATCTGATTTCGAGCCTCAAACAGCAGCTTCTTTGTGGATTATACTCTTTCTTCAATTAATTAGTTGTTGCTCTTGTTGCTCCGTGTTTGGCCCTTGTTGTGTAGCCAATTTAGAGAACTTTTGTTACCCTCTTATTGTTATAGTGGATCTTTTTGGATCTTTGTGATCCCGTGGTTTTTACCTTCGATTTGAAGGGTTTTCCACGTTAAAATTTGGTGTTCTTTATCTTCTTTATTTTCGGATTTGCCTCTTCCTCGACATAACAACTACACCCAACATTAAGCCTCCAAATGTCATTTATGAAAAATCCTCTTCGAAAGAACTTACCACTTTTTATCGGTTTTCAAACAGATTCAGTAACGCACGAACCATATGTTAAGTGTTCCTATATAGGATTCAAACCCAAAATATTTGATTAAAAATTGGAGAAATTTGGTTTATCTTAATCAGTATTTTCAATTGCGATGGCATAAGATAGGGCTTTTAATTTGCTAGGGGCCTAGGCATAAGCCTCGAGATATGGGCGTAAGATACAACATATCTTTAATAGTTTAATTTATACATTAATAATATAGCATTATAACATAAACATAAAAAAATGCATTAAAAGTTTAAGAAAACTAAAAGAAATTAAAGAAACACATTGAAAATAAAATATCTAACATATTTTACAAGTATAAACAATGCAATACTATTAAAGTTACTATGAAATATAAATCAACTATAACGTCTTAACTTTCGAACAATTAAAATCATAATTTCTTAAAAGATATTAATAAACTGAATATTTTACCTCTCTAAAAACAATAATTTTTATTAATACTGTAATCTAAAATATTACTCCTTTATGAGTAAAATCAAAATTATTTTTAAATAACAAAATAAAAATGTATAATAATTTTGAGAGACATACTAAGACATGAAAATCTAGCAAGCAAAGATATAAATTTTGGTTATCTATTTTCAGAAAAAATATTCAAATGATATTCACCCTCACGATGTTCTCAATTAATAAATATGTAATACTGTAGTTCATTATTTGAGTTGTTCATAATTTTTATATTCCTATAGACTAAAAGAAATTAATTATTCATTTGTTAAAGAATTTTAAGGTCAACGGTGTTAATAAGTAAATTCGACACGTGATTTGCATAGAAATTGTTGGGCGAGTCTCGAGCGTTGAGCGTTACATGTGTTTATAGCGCACAAAGGGGCGCTTGAGGGTGTAAGTCTCACAGATCTTAGCCGCACAGATGATCAGGGGCGAATTCAACACAACGGTAAGAGGTTTAATTAAACCCATAATTTTTTATACGGAGCATAAATTTATATGTAAAATTCACTAAAAGTGTAACAAATAATAGATATGACCCCACAACTTTAAAACTATAATGTGTTCAAGCTTAAAACCTTAAAGGCTGAACCCTATAAAATTTTAATCCTGGATCCGCCTCTGCACATGATCCTCAAGGCATTTTGATAGTGCTTCATGCGAGGGCGAGCACCGAGACTAGTCCCAAAAACACTTTTTAAAACACTGATCCTAACTACACCCTCTATGGTACATCCTCTGGTCCATTTTAATTGTCTTGTTTCTCTTTTACACGCCCTTTAAGAAATTATTAATAAAAAGGCTTTTTGACTATTATACCCTTATTTAATACTTTTCATTTCTAAGTGTTTTTATGCAATGTAGTCAACATTTTTACCTTCAAGAACATTTATTACTAAGGCCAAATGGAAAAAAAGATAATTAGTTATACCTTGATTTACTAAAATGACAACTATTGTGGACCAATATATTTAGTAATCAGGACAACTAATGTGGTCCGGGGGATTAATTGTGTTTTACTCTTTAGGTAATGACCTATTACGGATTGGAACCATTTATTTTTATTTTCTCGTTGCAATAAAATAGGTAAATTTTTCTTAGCCGAGGGTGTATTGGAAATAGCCTCTCTATCCTCACAAAGTAGGTGTAAGATCTGCATACATACTGCCCTCCCCATACCCCACTGATGTGGGATACTACTGAGTATGTTATTTTTGTTGTTACAATAAAATAGGTAAAGAGGGGAAAAAAAACAATTCAGTGCATTAAGCTTTCGCTATGCACGGAATTCGAGGAAAAACCGCACCATAAGTATCTATTGTACTCACCTTCTATAGTTCTTCTCTTCTATCCATTATATTTAATTAAGGCAGATATTTTAGAGAGTAGTTAAGACTTTTAATTATCTCTTAATTAATGACTGCATTCCTTTTTTACAATATTCGGTTTCTCTTGTCCGTTGGAAGGGTTGAAGCTAATCTCTTTATCTTTCTCATCTCTGACGTGGATGCTCTATCTCATTATCCTCTATATTGGTAGTATTACTTAGCGTGTAATTCACACTAACTTTAAATTCTCTTACCTTTTTTACAACTTTTCTTTTAAATTTAAGACCTTCAAAAATTTATTGCTTTGGAATTTGGATAAAGCTACCTAATTTATTACTCCATTAGGTGTTTCTGACTTTTCTCACACATTTCACCTTTTAACATTAATTAACACCATATTAATCTTAATTTGGTTATTGGAAATATAATGAACTACTCCTAAGCTCTTTACTCCAAAAAAAACTTTGGAAAAAAAAAGTTAATTCCTTTTTGATATCTAAAATAATCAAATATTATGGATCACAACAAATGCCAAAAAAGTTACTCATATAACAATTTTTTATTTAAAAGTACCAAAAAACGTCTAAGATAATTTTAGTTAATATGTGTTTATTTTTTTTTTAATATCATGAGAGTACAATATTATTGTTATATAAAATTGTTTATGTTCTTTATAAGCCTTTGATGCATAGGGTGGAGCTAAAGAGTCAATCGTGTATTCGTTCGAACTCAGTAGCTTTAGTTTTAATTTTTTATTTGTTTAAAATTTTTTACTAATATGAACAAATTATTAATTTAGAATTCAGTATCTTAAAAGGATTACAATCCCATATTCATAAATTTCAAATCGTAACTCCGTCTTTGTTGATGCACAAGATTTAACTAAAGTTATCTAATGAAAGAAAATAAATTGGTTATTAACTTGAAAATAGGGAAAATCAATAGTCATTTGTGGATGCATAAGATTTATTTGCACATAATTAACAAGCTAATTGGTTGTTAACTTATTTACCATTCATAATTTTTTTTAATAATTGGACAAAAACTTTCATAATATATGATGCCATATTTCTACATAGATCCATACATTTACATTCTCAACTGGAGGTGAGACGCAAATTTAAAATCTAGCAGCTTATTTATTTCAGTGTATATTATTTTTTTCGACCAAAGTCAAAGCTATTTAAGGGTATTGTTGAGTTCGCAAACTCAATTTTTGAATTTTGAAAAGGCTAATTTGATTTGCTTTGGAAAAAAAAAGGAAATTTTTTAATTTCTGAAAAAATATTTCCAAACTCAATATTCAAAATTTTAAAAATTCCAAACAACTAGTCTTTGAGTTTTAGGGATATTTCAGAAACAAAGTTTGAAAAATCTTATAAAAAGTCATATTTTCTTAGAATAATCTTAAATTAATACTTTTTCTCAAAAAATTTAAGTTATATACACCGATATATATAAAAAAAGTTACATAATCAATATTACTAACTAGGAGTAATAATTATTAAATAAATTATATTTTAGGTAACCTGATCGTATAACTCTTCAACTTTTATTATGCAAGCTCAATTTTCTAAAAACTTCAAACAAACCTCACCTAAATTTGTTTTAAAATAATATTATTTGTAATTATATTTTATGAGATATAAAAATTATTTTCACTCAGCGCATAAAATTTTAATAAGCAAACTCAAGTTTCGAGAAACTTTAACCAAAAACCCCACCTAAATTTTCTTTAATAAATGAGCACTTGAGCAATAGCCAATAAAGAAAAAAAAATTGAAAATATAAACAGAAAAAGAAAAATAGAAAGTCCGTAGTTTTGATATTTACAACCTAACAGAAATCCATTTATCTATATACCTGGCTGGCGCAGCTTTACACTATAAATATCAACACATAAACACCTTCTCAAAAACATATCTTCACACTTCTTCAGTGTAACCACAAAGCACACTTCCCACGAATCTCATTTTCTCTCTCTATTATTTTTTCTTCATTTCTCACCGGAGCTCCGGTAGTCCGCCGTCGGTCGGAGTTATGGGAGCGCCAATTTTATCAGATCTCGGAACGGAGATTTTGATTCCGGTATGTGCCGTCGTCGGCATCGCTTTCTCGCTTTTTCAATGGTTTCTCGTCTCTAAAGTGACGCTCAGTATTGATAAGTCCTCCGCCGCCGCCGACGATAAGAATGGTTACGCTGCTGAATCGCTCATTGAAGAAGAAGAAGGCATTAATGACCATAGCGTTGTTCAGAAATGCGCCGAAATTCAAAACGCCATTTCTGAAGGTAAAAAAAAGTTACCGCAGTAAATATACGTCACGTTTGCTTTTGCTGTTGTTTGAATTTTGGATTGAAGTTAATACATTGACTATTACTATATCATTTTTACACTATTCATGAATTTTAATTTGTGTTAGCAAGTTATCCTTTTTTGTGAGATTACTAATTACTTTAAGAAATTTATCTGTAATTACTTAATACAATAGAACTCGTAGTATAATTGTTTAACTCATTTATGTGGTTTTTGTACATTTTGCCTTTAATTTGATCTGCCTTCTTTTTTTTGCTGAGTAGCTGATAAACCTTGATTTGTGCACTTAATTTATACAGATACATTTTGTGGAATGGTTTTTCTTAATTATATTGACGGTGAATATGAGTAAAATGATAAGAACTGTTTCCTCGCTTACTGCGAGGTTAATTTGGAGTAATTTCTTTGTAATTATGTTAATTCAATTGTTTGATTTTGTTTGTTTTGGTAGTTCCAGATGTGATATGCTGATTAATGCTGTAAATTAGTTTCTTTTTTGCTGGTGGATAAAGATCTAGCTTCTTTGTTCATTCCGTGTTGTTCTCGTTATCAAATTGGATTTAAGTTATTTAAGTTATATATACTGATAGTATAAAAATTTCTTTTAATATATTATTAGTAATTTAATATGTGATAACAAATTAATATTATTTTTATTAGGTTATCACTTAATTTTTGTTACATAGATTCATGTAATAACCTTATTTTTTACTGCATAGAAGTTTTTTTATATACTTTACTAGTGATAGCCAATTAGTTATCATAATTACTAGGTTACCTTTAATTTTTATCATATAGATTTACGCGTAATTATCTTATACGTAAATTGTGTTGTCTAAATAATATTACCTGCATAAAATATGTCTTCACTATTCGTATAGATTCACATATAATCAGCTTATATATAATTTAATTGTGTAATATTTTTTATATTGTGTATTCTTTTTCACTATCAGTTTAACCTATGATACTAAGGTAGTTATCATTTTTACTAGATTATCAATTAATTCTTATCATATAAATTCTCAGTGTAATTATTTTATGTTGTAATTTGATTGTGTAAATATTTTTTTACCCTAGGGCTTTTTTTTTATATACTTTACTAGTGATAGCCAGTTAGTTATCATAATTACTAGGTTACCTTTGATTTTTATCATATAGATTTACGTGTAATTATCTTATACGTAAATTGTGTTGTCTAACAATTTTACCTGCATAAAATATGTTTTCACTATTAGTGATTTTATTTAGTGATTGGAAGTTAATTATCATTTTACTAGGTTATAATTAATTCTTATCGTATAGATTCACATATAATCAACTTATATATAATTTAATTGTGTAATATTTTATATTGTATATTCTTTTTCACTATCAGTTTAACCTATGATTGTAAGGTAGTTATCGTTTTTACTAAATTATCAATTAATTCTTATCATATAAATTCTCAGTGTAATTATTTTATGTTGTAATTTAATTGTGTAAATATTTTTTACACCATACGTGCATAGGGCTTCAACTCTATTAAATTATGTAATTCCTTCTTGCTTTTGTCACACGTTTTCTAGACTTGGACTTTACTTTTGGTCTTTAATTATAGTGGAACTTTCTTTGGTTGTTGTGATTATGAAGGGTATAATTAATTGCAAATTAGATACTATCTCAAGCAACCTTTCATACCTAAAATAAAATAAGAAATTCCTAGTTGCTGTTAAACACTTGCCTGTCGGTGTTGTTCTGACACTAGTAGATCTAACATGCCGTGTTGGCTTGGTAATTTGCTATCATCACCATCACGTGTCAGTTGTTTAATATAGATGGCCACCTTAGTGGCAAGGCTGCTGATTTTGAGATACTTAATGCTTAAGGTCTTTTTGCTATTTATAAATTAAGATACACAAATTTAATTTTTTTTACCAGTATCTTATGGATATAAGTATTATATCTGAGCATTTTCTTTAATAATTTCATTAGAAAAAGGTTGATTTTAGGTTTAGAGGGATCAAATTGCCCTGATTTCCACAAGGTTAGTTTTGTACTTACATTGAGTATCCTGGCTGGCTGTTTCAGAATATTAAATTATAAGAAAAGAAATTAGAGGACTTTTATTTCTCAAGTTATGGGATCTGAACATTTTGCACTCTGCCAATGAGATTGCGTTTCTGCGGATAAGCCATTATGGCTTTTCTCATGAACAAAAAAAGGAAAAACAGAAAAAAAGGAATACAAAAAGAGTGATTTTGGTCTCAGTATACATGGTTGATTTACTTTAAAATGGATGCCCAAAAAAAAAAAAATATAAAATGTTGACAAGACAGTGTTCAGTGTAAGATTGAACAGTTAAATTTTGGCAGTGAGATCTTGAGTATACCAACTGGCCTTATGATGGATGTCGAATGATTGAAAAGGCTTTTCTTTTATCCTGTTGTATGAATTGCTAGATTTGTTTAAAGTTCAATTGATAAATGGCTTTCTGGTCAACTTCTATACTGCAAATACCTTTAGTTTCTCTTGGTGATAATTTATTTGGAACATTGCAATGTTATTCTTTGGTAAAGAAGATTTTGTGTTGTTGCTGCATAATCAGTGTCTCATAGAGAACTTAAAAAAACTCTTACCTGATTGTTAACTTTTATAGTGTAACCTCCCTGATAATAGCTTCGAATCTAATGATGCCACAGGTGCAACATCATTCCTTTTTACTGAGTACCAGTATGTTGGTGTTTTCATGGTTGCTTTTGCAATTTTAATCTTCCTTTTCCTCGGGTCTGTTGAGGGTTTCAGCACAAAGAACCAACCCTGTACATATGACACCACCAAAACTTGCAAGCCCGCTCTTGCCACTGCTGTCTTCAGCACCGTATCTTTCTTGCTTGGTGCTGTTACATCTGTGGTGTCCGGGTTTCTTGGAATGAAAATTGCTACATATGCAAATGCCAGAACTACCTTGGAGGCTAGAAAAGGTGTTGGGAAGGCTTTTATTGTTGCATTCCGATCTGGTGCTGTGATGGGTTTCCTTCTTGCTGCAAACGGTCTTCTGGTTTTGTACATAACCATCCTTCTATTTAAGTTGTACTATGGTGATGACTGGGAAGGTCTTTTTGAGGCTATAACAGGTTATGGGCTTGGTGGATCTTCAATGGCCCTCTTTGGTAGAGTTGCTGGAGGTATTTATACCAAAGCAGCAGATGTTGGAGCTGATCTTGTGGGCAAGGTGGAAAGGAACATCCCTGAAGATGATCCTAGAAACCCAGCGGTATGGTTATTTATCAATTAGTTTTATTAATCCACTTAAAAACTTATTTTTTAGTCAGCCTTATTAAAAAAGCTGCTTTTCTAGTTAGCTCTGAAGTGTAAATGGTCTCTCAGGTTATTGCTGACAATGTCGGTGACAATGTCGGAGATATTGCTGGTATGGGATCAGATCTGTTTGGGTCTTATGCAGAGTCATCCTGTGCAGCTCTTGTTGTTGCTTCAATCTCCTCCTTCGGTGTCAACCATGAGTTCACTGCTATGCTATATCCCCTTCTCGTCAGCTCTGTTGGTATCCTCGTTTGTTTGCTTACCACCTTATTCGCAACTGATTTCTTTGAAGTCAAGGCTGTTAAGGAAATCGAGCCAGCATTGAAGCAGCAACTCGTTATCTCAACTGCTCTCATGACAGTTGGAATTGCTGTTGTTACTTGGATTGCCCTTCCATCGACCTTCACAATATTCAATTTCGGGGCTCAGAAAGAAGTAAAAAGCTGGTAAGTCTAAAATCCGCTGTTACTTTTATAACTTGGTGTAGTGACACCCCTGCATTGTCTCATTGTCTGTATATTGGTTCATATTATTTGGGATTGGTTGTGAAAAACTGGAAGTTGTAAGCATGAAATGAGTATGAAGATAGAAGAATCCCCTGCAGAAGATTTGACAAAACCTTTTTCCGTTTGAATGGATGAAAAAGCTGCTTTTTGACCTTCCTTTCCCTGTCTCTTAAAATATTTAAGTCTGAGGCGCACAGGTAGCTGAATCTGATTTAAACTTGCAGGCAGTTGTTCTTGTGTGTCGGAGTTGGTTTGTGGGCTGGACTTATTATTGGGTTCGTCACCGAGTACTATACCAGCAATGCTTACAGGTGGGTACCTGGTTTTTGTAGTCAATTTCTTAGCTTCATTGGCTCTTGTATGTCAGAAATTTTAAGCTGTCTTTTTCCCTTTCCAGCCCTGTGCAAGATGTTGCTGATTCATGTCGGACTGGTGCTGCAACAAATGTTATTTTTGGCCTTGCCTTGGGTTATAAATCAGTGATCATCCCCATATTTGCCATAGCAGTCAGTATATTTGTTAGCTTCAGCTTTGCTGCAATGTATGGCATTGCAGTTGCTGCCCTAGGAATGCTGAGCACTATAGCCACTGGTTTGGCAATTGATGCATATGGTCCCATCAGTGATAATGCAGGAGGCATTGCTGAGATGGCTGGAATGAGCCACAGAATCAGAGAGAGAACTGATGCACTTGATGCTGCAGGAAACACCACTGCAGCTATTGGAAAGGTAAAATGAATTTGCTTATACGTACACGCTAAGCATCGTCCGGGGTTTAGTTTGAAGTTGCTACATTATCTTGTGATGACTTGTGATTTTAACTTATTGTACCTGTAATGATGACAGGGATTTGCCATTGGTTCTGCTGCTCTTGTGTCTCTGGCCCTCTTTGGGGCATTTGTCAGCCGAGCAGCAATTTCCACTGTAGATGTCTTGACACCTAAAGTATTTATTGGTTTGCTAGTCGGTGCCATGCTTCCTTATTGGTTCTCAGCCATGACAATGAAGAGTGTTGGAAGCGCTGCTCTTAAGATGGTTGAGGAAGTGCGCAGGCAATTCAACACCATTCCTGGTCTCATGGAAGGAACTGCCAAGCCTGACTACGCCACCTGTGTCAAGATCTCTACAGATGCATCGATCAAGGAGATGATTGCACCTGGTGCTCTTGTCATGCTCACTCCATTGATTGTTGGAATCTTGTTTGGCGTCGAAACACTTTCTGGTGTGCTTGCAGGATCTCTCGTCTCCGGTGTACAGGTAAACATATCACATATTGATGATGTGTTTTAAAATACTTCAAATGGTCTAAATCTCTAATCCTGGATCAACTTTGTTCTTGTAGATTGCCATCTCTGCTTCTAATACAGGTGGTGCCTGGGATAATGCTAAGAAGTACATTGAGGTAAATATTTTAGTTGGAACTTTCATTTGGACCAAGCTATAGAAACTATATTTCAACACTAATTATTTGTGTTGGTCTTTGAACGATAGGCCGGAGCCTCAGAACATGCAAGAACCCTTGGCCCCAAGGGATCTGATGCACACAAGGCTGCTGTGATTGGTGACACTGTTGGTGACCCTCTCAAGGACACGTCTGGACCATCATTGAACATTCTTATCAAGCTGATGGCTGTCGAATCCCTCGTGTTCGCTCCCTTCTTCGCCACTCACGGTGGTCTTCTCTTCAAGCTATTTTAAAACGAATGCCACTCCTAGGTCACATGACTGTCTCACGAAATCTATCGCTCCCTTTCTCTTCGTTTAACTACCTTTCCAGCATTTTTCGTGTTTTTAGTCGCTAGAATGTGGGCTGTGGAAGGAGAGATATTCACGACAATGAGTGTTGATGGTAAGGGTGAAATGTTTTTGCAGAATTCAGAAGAACATCAATATTCTTTCCTAGAGTTATTTGTATCAGTTTCTTAAATACCTTCTCGTCCTTGCCCGTTTCGGGTGTTAATTTTTGAATTTTTCTTATGCTTTGTGTTCGTTTCTCCAAAATCTACAATATAACATGAGGTAGATATTACTTCCAAATTTACATTAAAGATTTTAAACAGATTTACAGTTTGGCTTCTAACTTCGAAAGAGACAGCGAGTTGAATCAATTAAGTTTTTTCTTTTACAACATAAACGGAACTCTATTTGTTTAATCAATTCTATTTGATGATGTTCTCTATGTTAATTTATTTATTTTTTAATCAAAAAAAGAAAGTCTTTTCGGAAAAGCAAAGATTGAAAGCAGCTTATCAAATAGTAGCAGTCCACTCTCGTAACTCGAATCCTCTATTCTCATATATATATTCTCATATATATATATATATATATATATATATATATATATATAAAAGAAGAAGAGGAGGCGTCTGAAGTTGTATAAATTAGGGTATAAGTTAAATAATTTTAAAAATATGGATATAGATTAAATGGGGGCGACCAAATATATATATATATATAAATTTAGCACTGGGGTATGAGTTTTGCATTAAGTACGTTGTATTATGCTGAATATAAGAACAAAGGGTCCAGGATCAGATACCAGTAACAGGTAAAAATTGCACGGGGCGCTCTATTTGGTCGCCCCCATTTAACCTATACCCATTTTTTAAATTTTTTTTAATTTGTACCCACTTTTTAAACAACTTCAGCCCCCTTTCTCTTCCTCTTTCTCCTCCTTCGTTTTCTTCTTCTTCTTCTTCTTCTTCTTTCTTCTGCTGTTGTTGGTGCTGCTATGAAACTTCAGTTCATGGGATGATTGCCATAAGTATGTTTATCAGATTATTTAAAAATAAATTATAAATAATTACGTAAGCTAGTAGACAATAATTTGTGAATATTTTACGTACGGGAAGTTTAAGGTAACACTTAGTGATTCTTTTCATGATAATTCTGTTCTTTTCACGTTTATTTGTTTTCAAAATTTTATGATTTAGATACTGTTGGCAATCTGATTATTTTATAGTAGTCTGATTATAACAAAACTAATGAATTCAGGACAAAAAAACTTCAGCTTATTTAGGGTGTGTTTGGTATAACGAAAAATGTTTTCGGTAAAATATGTTTTCCAAGAAAATATTTTCTTGGAAAACAAGTAGTAATCTTATTCATTTTCCGGTGTTTGGTACGCAAATTAAGGAAAATGACTTCTCAAGAGTATTCATAAATAATTTAGATATAATAAACATGAAGTCATAAACTTTCAAACCAACAACCTTCCGAACTCACATTTTTCATAAACTTTCTGTCACGACCCAAACCCGCACTAGTCGTGATGGCGCCTCTCGTGAAGACAAGGCCAGCCAACTAACCCAATTCGTCTCTTTCAAAATTATTTAACATAAATGAATAGCAAACACGACTTAATGACATTAAGTAACGATATTTACAACCCAACACAGCCCGTCCGGGGTGTCACAAGTCACGAGCATCTAGAAGGATTTTGGTACAACTACAAAGCCTGTAATACATAGAAATAATTCTGGAAATAAAAAGGAAGAAATTCGGTGCCGCGAACGCTGGCGGTCACCTTGCTCAGCTACGATAGTAAATCCTCAACCAGCTCAAACCCGCTACGGGGTAAACCAATACCTGCATCTGCACGCGAGGTGCAGGGAGTAAAGTGAGTACTCCAACTCAGTGAGTAATAAAGGTAAATAATAACTGAGCAGCAAGAAACCACGTAAAGCAAGCCATAATGCTATATAGAACAGTGTAACCCTTTGAGAAAACAGTGAAACCGTATAATCTTTAGAAATATCTGGGCTCAATTTAAAAACCTCTTTCGAAAATATCTTTTTCCAACAGTTAAGCAAATGAATGCGAAACAGATAGATGCAAGACAGCACATAAGTCAGCCCCTCGGGCACAACACTCCATTAACCCATAACACCAGGGTATCAGGTAAACAGTGCAAGAAATAGCATGGAAGCCAATGAAATGCGAGTGCTGGAATGTCATGACAAATAATACAAATAGGAACCAATGCATGAGTGCAATGCAATGCATATGACGGTACACTTCGGTACCCACTGCAGCGTGCTGCCCGAGCCATCCATATATTTAACGTCGACGGCGCTCACTGGGGGTGTGTACGGACTCCGGAGGGGCTCCTACAGCCCAAGCGCAAATAATCAAGCCATCTCGTGGCACCAACCAGGCCCTCGGCCTCAATATCAATACAATACCGCTTCGGCGCGCAACCCGATCCATGCTCAGTCCAGAAATGCACATAAGCCACTTGGGCAATATTAAAATAATAGTTCTCAGCTCAAAACGTCAATAAAATATTGCTTAAGTTTTTCAAATCTTAGAAAAATGGGTGAGTTTGCAAAACAGTATTAATACCCTGGACCGAGATCAAGTAATATGCAAAGTAATGCGAAAGCAGTGATATCAATCCCTGAAGGATTCACATAGTTGACACGAAGCCCAAACATGGCAATCAGCCCACATTATGATGATAACAAGTAGTTTCAGTCGAATAAGTAGTAATTTCATCAATCAGGACGGACCAAGTCACAATCCCCAACGGTGCTCTACCCCATGATCGCTATTCGGCGTGCAAGTCACCTCAATACAGCACTATGATTTGCAAATCCGGGGTTTCAAACCCTCAGACTATCATTTACAATCATTACTCACCTCAAACCGGTGAAATCTCTAGCTCGCGACGCCTTTGCCCCTCAAATCGGCCTCCACGCGCGTCGAATCTAATCAAAATCAGAGCGAATACATCACAATATGCTAAGGGAACAATACCCAATCGAAAACAATTGAAAAATAGCGAAAATCTCGAAATTAGCAAAACCCGAACCCTGGGCCCACTTCTCGAAAAATCAGGAAATTCACATCAATGGATTCCTCATCTCGCCACGAGTCTATACATATCAAATTTACCAAAATTCGAGCTCAAATGCTCCCTCAAATCCCAAATTTAAATCTCAAAATCTCAAGCCCTAGTTCATCAATTTTAGGCTTAATTCCACGAATTTCTAGGTTAATTTCACATAATAATTACGTTTTTAACTCATAAAACTTACCTCCAGTCAATTTCAGTCGAAACCCTCTTCAATTGCTCCCAAATAACTCTCAAGATGTTCCACAATGGAGGAAAAATACCCTTAGCTCGCGGATGAAATGTTATCTTAAAACCTTCTCTGTCCAGCACTTTTTGCTTATGCGGTCCCGTCCCCGCTTATGCGGGACCGCTTCTGCGACATTTATATCGCTTCTGCGGTTCTCCACTTAAAGGCCTCGACCGCTCCTGCGGCCCATAAATCGCACCAGCGGGACCGCTTCTGCGGCCCAAACATCTGCTTTTGCGGAAAACCCAATTCGAGTCCAAAACCGCTTCTGCGGTTCCCCAATCGCATAAGCGATACCGCTTCTGCGGTCCATATTCCGCAGAAGCGAAAACATACCAGAAGCGGCAGACTTAGCAACATGAAAAATCCCAAAACTCTCCGTTTAACCATCCGAACTCATCCCGAGGCCCCCGGAACCTCAACCAAAAATACGAATACGTCCTAAAACATTATTCAAACTTGTTCCAATCATAAAAATACCACGATTAACACTAAAACCATCAAATTACATCAAATTCAAGCCTAAGTTCTTCAAAAACTTTCGAAACACGCATTCGATAAAAAACCCAACCAAACGACGTCCGAATGACCTGAAATTTTGCACACATATCCAAAATCACCTAACGTAGCTACAACAACTCTCGGAATTCCATTCCGACCCTCGGATCAAAATCTCACCTATCAACCGGGTTTCGCCAAAATACTAACTTCGCCAATTCAAGCCAAATTCTACACCGGACCTCCAAAATCAATTCCGATCACGCTCCTAAGTCACAAATCATCCCCCGAAGCTAACCGAATCACCGAAAATCACATCCGAGCCCTCTAACTCATAAGTCAACGTCCGGTTGACTTTTTCAACTTAATCCTTCTTAAAAGAGACTAAGTGTCTCATTTCCTACCAAAACCAATCCAAATCAACTGTAACCCACCAAATACAGATAATGAAGCATGAAATGGGGGAAACGGAGTGGTAACTCATGAGACGACGGGTCGGGTCGTCACACTTTCGAACCGCTAAACTTTCAAAACCGCGGAATTTCTAACTTGTAAACTTTATAATTTCTAAACTCGTAAACTTCCAAACACATAAACCTCCGAACTCTTAACTTTGGAACTTGTAAAATTTTGAACCTTTAAATAAAAAACTAAAACTGAAAAATATATTAAAATATATTTTTTTTGGGGGGAGGGGTGGGGGGTTGGAGGGGCAGGGACGTAGGGGGGGGGGGGGAGTGCAGAAAAACGGAAAAAACAGAATTTTAAATTACAAAAAAAAGTAATTTTTTTTTGTGGGGGGTGGGGGGTGGGGGGTTGGTGGGTGGTGTAGAAAACGAAAAATAGTAATTTAAAATTGCAATAAAAAATAATATTTTTTGGCTGGAGGGGTGGGGGTGGTGGGGTTGTAGGGTGGGTGGTAACGGAAAAACTGAAATTTGAAGAAAAAAAAATACCTTTTTTGGAGATAGGGGTTGGGTTGGGTTGGTGAGAGTAGGGAAGGTTGAGAAGGAGTTTTGGAAAATATTTTCCCTTCTCTTGATAAGGAAAACATTTTCCTCCAATCGGAGGAAAATGAGTTCATTAGGAAAATATTTTCCAAAACATTTAAGCCAACCACACATGGGAAAATTGGAAAATATTTTACGGAAAATGTTTTCCTTCGTACCAACCACACCCTTAGTGCTGAAGTTTTTACAAATGAACTAAATAACTTCAGCATCTTCTGCTTTAGTGTTTGAACAAGCTTTATGACAAAACTAATGAATGAATCTAGGACAAAAAAACTTCAGCTTATTTAGTGCTGAAGTTTTTACAGATGAACTAAATAACTTCAGCATCTTCTGCTGAAGTTTTTGAAAAAGCTTAATGACAAAACTAATGAATCGAGGACAAAAAAACTTCAGATTATTTAGTGCAATTACAAATAAAACTTCAGCAAATAGAGAATAAAACTTCAGCTACTATGCTTAAGTTTAGCAATTACTAACAAAAACTTCAGCAAATAGAGAACAAAATTTCAACTACTATGCTTAAGTTCAGCAATTAATTACAAACAAAAACTTCAGCAAATAGAGAACAAAACTTCAGCTACTATGCTGAAGTTCAGCAATTACAAACAAAAACTTCAGCACACTTGCTACTTCAGGCCCGTCTACTAGAATGCTGAAGTTTTGCGTGATTGCCTTTGCTACTTCAGCCCCTTATGCTGAAGTTACGCGAAAAAGTAGGTACGCTTGCAATTTTTTTTGCAAAGCGGGCACAAGTTAAAACGTGACCCAAAAAACGGGTATAGATGTAAACTCCCCCAGTAACAGGGTTACATGGACTGGTTATCGTGGTGAGATTAACTTTTTTGGATGCATCTTATTTCACCGTCTTCAATTTTATAGCGAGAAATTATTGGCTGCCTTGGACCGGAGTCCCTTACACTAGTGATTTTTATATTTATAAGCAAGAATTTTTTCTTGATCTTTTATCTAATTTGGTTGTCTTCTTCAGCTAATTCCAAGTCTGAAGTTCTTCAGCGGGTCTGAAGTTTGCATTACAAACTGAAGAACTTCAGACTAATTTGTTTGAAGTTTACACTATGAACTGAAGTTTTTCAGATTGTCTTTGCAAGCCAGGCGAAACTTCAGGCTAAAATATCTGAAGTTTTGGTTTGATAAGGTCACACTTGAGGCAAAAAATTCTGAAGTTCAAACTTCAGACATAATTTTTTGCTACTTCAGGCCCGTATATCTGAAGTTATCCAAAAAATGGGTAGACTTGCAATTTTTTGTGCAAAGCGGGTATATGTTTAATAGTGACCCCAATACTGGGCATAGATGCAAATGCCACAAAATTTATACACTTTTTTGGCTATTGAATGTAAATAGTTTTTGGTGCGGCTAAAAGTGAAAAAAATTGGAACAAGAGAAGGAATCAGCCCATATAATAACTCCATTTTCAGATCTGACCTCCTTTTGGTCCAGTCCAACAACTTTACATTATCTCTAAAATGGAAAATGCTTATCCCTCCTACAACTCAAGTATAAAATTTCATATTATGCTTTATCGTTTCAAACTTGAAATGTTACATTTCCAATTAGATCTTTTTAGCATTTCAAGCCAAAATTCTAGAGAAGTTTTTCATTCTTATACAATAATCTATTTAGTGCTACGTTTTATGTTTTAGATATAAAGTAAGTAAATACTAAAACAAAATATGAAAGAAATAATTTTAAAAGTTAGTCTCATGTATAACACATTGTTCTTGATTGTAAATTCTTGAGACTCGTTAAATAAAGTTATATAGATGCTAGTTTTTTTAATTAAGTCAAACATTGAATATCGGAAAATAGAACATGAGGGAGAGACTATGTGCAAAAGGTCCTGTCGTGACCCACAATTCTCACCATCGAAACCGCGATGACGCCTAACATCGCACTCGCTAGGCAAACCAACGTTAGAGTTTTATCCACCTTATTCCTTTACATTTCATAGATTAAAATTTAACACACTAAATCAAGTAGAAATAAATGCGAAAATACGAAAATAACCTTTTGTTTTATTCACAATACCATAACTATTACTACTAACCAGAGTCTGGTGTCACAATCCACGAACACACTATGGTTTACTACAAATATTGGTCTGAACGAAATTACATATGTTTGAAACGAAGGAAAAACAGAAATATAGAAAAGTAAAAGGGGACGCCAGGGCCTGTGGACGCCAACAGGACTACCTTGCGTCTCCTAGATGAAATGCCTCCAACCTCTCGATCAGCCACTACCAGCTCCAAAATCTCCACTACCGACCCCATATACTGGTAAGTGCCGAGCCTAACCTCGACGGGGTAGTGACGAGGCTACGGCGGGGCAATTACAATATAACCTGCATATAGTATATAATAAAGCGAAAAAGAAGTACGCGCAAAATGAAACAATAACTTGCAGCAAAAATGGATACGTATTTCAAATATCTTATTAGCACCAAATTGCATGAAATTTTCAAGAAAGCTTCAAAACTTTTATGTTCTCAACCAAAGGCCCGAATCACTTCAAATCAGTTCCGTTTCTCACCAAATTTCACAGATAAGGTATAAATATCATAACGGACATGTACCGGATTGCGGAACCATAATACGGGCCCGGTATCAACAAGATCAAATATCAACCAAATTCTTAAAACCATTATAATTTCAGCCTTATAATTTTCATCAAAAATTTATTTCTCGGGCTAGGGACCTCGGAATTCGATTCTGGGCATACGCCCAGGTCTTATATTTTACTACGGACCCACTTGGACCGTCAGAACACGGGTCCGGTACCCAAAATGCTGACCGAAGTCAACAAAAATTAACTTTTTAGGCCAAAAATTATTATTTCATCAATTTTTCACATAAAAGCTTTCCGGATACACGCTCGGACTGTGCACGCAAATCAAGGAGGAATAAAATAAGGTTTTGAAAACCTCGTAACACGGAATCGAGTTGTAAAATATAAGATGACCCTTTGGATCATCACAGGTCCTAATCAACATCTTAGTTGATTATTTGTGCTTTAAGGTTTTCTAATCAGTAACTATAGATCTAACATTAAATAATCCATTTGCTATTGCTAATCAGTCACTTGTAACCACTTGCTAATTAATTGCTATTATGTGACAATTACCAATAATATTAACAAGGGATATGTCAAAACTTTGGATCTCTGAGGTGTGATCTCCATTGGAGAGAAGAATCAAGCTGAAGCTACTATCAATTAGCTGAAGAGAACATTTTAGAATCTGAGAGAGAATGTGGGAAATGTAAAAGTGATTTAGTTCACTGCAGTTTATGCATTATGTACATGTGTAAGAAGAAATATACCTAACTTGACAACTGGCAACAACTCAATAACAGCTAACTAACTTCAGCCTAACTAACTAACTATTACTAACAGACTAATAGCATGTATATAAATATATTATTGCTTAGTCAATCTTAATACCCCTCTCTCAAGTTGGTGGGGAAGAATTCATTGCCAACTTGCCACGGATGCCGGCATGTTTAATGCCTGTTAAAGACTTAGTTAGGATATCAACCAACTGATCATTTGTTGAAATGTGATGAAGAGTAATCAGACCATCTTGCAGCTTATTCTCACGAAATGACAATCGACTTCTATGTGCTTTGTACGCTCATGAAACACAGGGTTCCTTGTCATGTGTACAACAACTTGACTGTCACAGGAAACATGAATAGGTTTCTGGCATGCATCAGTTAATTCTTCCAACAGTCTCCTTATCCATATCAACTCACCAACTACCTTTTGAATTGATTTGTATTCAGCTTCTGCCGACGATAAAGAAATTATGTCCTGCTTCTTGGATTTCCAACTGATGGGACTCTCTCCAAGCAGAACTACATAGCCACTCACAGACCTTCTAGAATCAGGGCAGACAACCCAATCTGAGTCGCAATAAGCTTTTAAGGTACAGTCAGGTCTATTGGACAACAAAATATCAAGTGTGGGATTAACATTCAAATATCTAAGAACAAGTATTGTAGCTTTAAGATGTGGTTCTCTAGGCGATTGCATGAATTGACTCAGATGTTTCATACTATATGTTATGTCAAGTCTTGTGTTTATGAGGAAGTTGAGCTTCCCCACAAGTTTCCTATAATATGTGGGATCTGTCAGTAAGGATCCTTCAGTTGCCTTCAACTTAATTGTGCAATCAAGTGGAGAAGAGACTGTAGTGCACCCCAGACAATCATACTCCTTTAACAGATCTATAGCAAATTTTCTTTGTGAAATGAGCACTCCATCATCTTTATAGAACACTTCTAGGCCCAAGAAATAATGCAGCTTGCCCGGATATTTGATCTTGAACTTGTTGTGTAGGAACTTCTTCAAAGCATTGATCTCCTCCAAGTCTGTCCCCGTGAGGATTACATCATCCACATACACAGCCACAAATGGAGTTGAGGAGCCATTCTTCTTATAGAAAAATGAGTAGTCACTAACAAAATGCACATATCCTTTTGAGCACAAAGATTCTGTTAATTTATCATACCATTGCCTGCTGGCTTGTTTTAGTCCATATAAGGACTTCTTCAATTTGCATATAAAACCTGGTGTGTCAACCTGTAAACCTTGTGGAACTTCCATGTACACCTCCTCATGCAAATCCCCATGTAGAAAAGCATTGTTCACATCTAATTGGAAGAGATCCCAACCTTTCATCACTGCTATACTTATTAGTGTTCTGACAGTTATCATCTTGACAACAGGGGAGAAGGTTTCTGTGTAATCAATCCCTACTTGTTGTGTATAACCCTTAACCACAAGCCTTGCTTTGAACCTCTATATGCTTCCATCTGCTTTGTGTTTGATTTTGTACACCCATTTGCATCCTATGGCTTTCTTCCCTGCAAGTAAATGCACTAAATCCAAGTATGATTAGCATATAACGCCTTAAATTCTTGTGTCATAGCTGCTTGCCAAGCAGGATTTATGGTTGCTTCCTCATATGAACATGGCTCACAGTCATGTGAAATATTCCTTATAACCTGCTGACTGTTATGACTCAAGGTATTAAGGGAGACATGTTGGATTTTAGTGAAAAAGTAATTGAGTGAATGCGTGTGTTGTGAGTAATTCTTCAGGGTTGGAAGGGAGTATACATATTCATTTAGGTAAGAAGGTGGATTGTATGACCTGGTGGACTTTCTAGGTTTTGATAATGTGGTGGAACGATCATTCACACGACTGGTGGCAGTATTCAGGTCTTCTGATATGGGTGACTCATATGAGGGTGCAGGTGTAGATATGTTATGTGAGGGAGCAAATGTAGATGCAGAGATAGGTGCACTATGATCAAAAGATACATGGGAATCAGTGACAGAGTTGTGTGTGGGATCCTTATTCTGCAATTGACAGTTATCCAAAGTGTTAGTCTGATCACAATCATCTATAAAATTAGGCTGAGAAGGCACATAATTGGGATTGAAAGCTATTAAGTGCAGAACAGAAGAAAAAGTGGAATGATTGGGAGAAATAGCAAATGAAAAAATATGTTCATGGAACTGTACATCTCTAGAAATGTGTGTCCTTTTACTGAACAAATCAAGTACCTTGTAACCTTTTGTTCCAAAGATATCCTACAAAGATGTGTGGACTAGCTCTTGGTTCAAATTTGTGTTTTTAGGTTTTGAGAGTGGTAGGATAACATAAACACCCAAAGCTCCTTAGATGGGAATATGTAGTCTTCTGCTTGTAAAAAATTTCAAATGGACACTTGTTATTTAGGATTGTAGAGGGGAGTCTATTTATCAAATATGTTGCAGTTAGGATGCACTCTCCCCAATACCTCAAGGGCAATTTAGAATGGTACAAGAGAGCCCTTGTTGTCTCTAGAAGGTACTTATGTTTTCTCTCGACCACACCATTTTGTTGTGGTATGTAAGGACAAGTTCTTTGGTGAATAATTCCTTTGGATTGATAAAAGCATTACTGGTAAACTCCAGCCCATTGTCAGATCTAACAGTCTTAATGGAGACTTGGAACTGATTTTCAACCATGCAAACAAAGGTTTTGATAACTTCTAGTGCATTACTTTTATAGCTCAACAACTGTGTCCAGGTTGATCTGCTACAATCATCGACTATAGTTTAAAAATACTTGTAATTATCATGTGTGGCAAGGTGGTAAGGACCCCAAAGGTCTATATGTAACAGATCAAACACTTGGGTGGAAGATATGGTTCTTGTGATGACCCAACCCGTCGTCTCATGTATTACAGCCCCGTTTCCCCCATTTATTGCTCTTTCATGTTTTATTATCAGCAACGGGTGAGTTAGAGTTTAATATAATTGGTTTGGATAGTAAATGAGACACTTAGTCTCTTTAAGAAAGGTTTGGTTTGGAAAAGTCAACCGAATGTTGACTTATTAGTTAGAAGGCTCGGATGTGAATTCCGGTGATTCGGTTAGCTTCGGGAGGTGATTTGTGACTTAGAAGTGCGATCGGAAGTGATTTTGGAGGTCCGGAGTAGAATTAGGCTTGAATTGGCAAGTTGGCATTTTGGCGAGTTCCGGTGGATAGGTGGGATTTTGATCCGAGGGTCGGAATGGAATTTCGAGAGTTGTAGTAGCTCCGTTAGGTGATTTTGGATATGTGTGCAAAATTTCAGGTCATTCGGACGTCGTTTGGTTGGGTTTGTGATCGAATGCGTAATTTGGAAGTTTTTAAGAAACTTAGGCTTGAATCCGATGTGAAATGATGATTTTAGTGTTGTTTGATGGGTTTTGATGATTGGAACAAGTTCGTATGATATTTTGGGGTAGGTTGGTGTTTTTGGTTGAGGTCCCAGGGGCCTCGGGGTGATTCCGGGTGATCAACGGAAGGATTTTTGGACTTTGAGTGTTGCAGAAAATGCACAGCTGTTGCAGGCCACTTTTGGCCTTCGCGTTCGCGGAGGTGCCCATCGCGTTCGCGTAGTTGTGATTTCTGGGTCATCGCATTCGCGATCGTGGCCTCGCGTTCGCGTAGAAGGGCCTGGGGACCCTGCCTAGTTTGTTCATCGCGTTCGCAATGAGGGAGTCGCGTTCGCGTAAGAGGACGTCCTGTGCATCGCGTTCGCGTTTGGAGTATCGCGTTCGCGTAGGAGGTTAAGCTGGACCATCGCGTTCGCGTGAGGGTCGACGCGTTCGCGTAGGGTATCTTTGGTCAAAGGAAAAATTTGCCTTCGCGAACGCGGGGTGTTGACCGCGTTCGCGTAGAAGAAAAGCTGGGCGACAGAAGGGTTTAATTATGATATTTCATCCGCGACTCATTCATTGTTTCCTCCATTTTTGAACCACCTCAAGAGCTTTTTGGTGGAAATTGAAGAGAGTTTTGACGGGAATTTATTAGAGGTAAGTCTCGTGACCTAGAAACGCTATTTTATTGAAGAATCACCCTTTAATTCTTGGAAAATTGGGCATAAATTTGAAGAACTAGGGATTGGGTTTTGAAATGAAAAAATTTGGGATTTGAAGGGGCATTTGAACTCCGATTTGGTAAATTTTATATGTACGGACTCGTGGCAAGACGAGGAATCCGGTAATATAAATTTCGTAATTTTTCGAGAAGTGGGCCCGGGGCTCGGGTTTTGCCAACTTCGTGAATTTTGGTATTTTTCGAGTCTTTTCGATTGGGTTATGTTTCTTTAGCCTATTGTAATATATTCGTTGTGGTTTTAATCAGATTCGGCGTGCGAAGAGGTTGATTCGAAAGGCAAAGGCATAGCGAGCTAGACTTGTGGCCGGCTTGAGGTGAGTAATAGATGTAGATGATGACCTGAGGGTTTGAAACCCCGGTATATCACATTGTGACGCTATATTGAGGCGAGACACGTACTCTATGACGAGTGCGGGGTCGATTGTGACTGGGGATTGTGACCTAGTCCGTTCCGAATTATGTTCGTACTGCGTTCTTGACTAGAAATTGTTTGGTAATTATCCTACTTGGAGTTTATGAATTGTTTGGGGCTTTGTGCCTATCATGTGCATCCTTCAGGGATCCTTATCACTGCTTCCATGATGCTTAGCATATTTCATGATATCAGTCCTGAGTTAGACACTGCCTCGAAATGGTTAGTAAATAAATAAAGGTTTATATGCATGCAAGCCATATATATATATATATATATCTGGACTGAGTGTGGATCGGGCTGCACGCCGCAGCGAATGTTACGATGATATTGCGCTTGGGCTGTAGGAGCCCCTCCGGAGTCTGAACCCCCACAGTGAGCGCGGGTACCCAAATGGATCGGGCTGCGCGCCGCAGCGGTCATGTGCATTGCATTGCATTCATGCATTTATACCTATTTGTCTTACTTGTCCTGGTATTATTGTTGTTCCACCGTTTTATGTGCTGAATCGTTGATTATAGCTTTATATTGTAATATTTCGGGATTTCTTACTTTCAGCCATTTTATATGTTTATTACTCACTAAGTTGGAAGTACTCACTTTACTCCCTGCACCATGTGTGCAGATTCAGGTGCTCCGGAGACTTAGTGGAGCTGTTTGCCGTTTTCGTGAAGTTTATTTTCAGGAGTTGTTGAGGTAGCTACCTGACGTCCGCAGGACCCGATTCCTCCCCTTTATTTCATTTATCTTTCCATATCCTAGACTTCTTTATTACTATGGATATATTACTCTGTTACATCTAGAGGCTCTAGACTCGTGACTCCAGATCTATTGGGGAATGTTTGGATATTCGTTATTATATCCGTACTATTTTATTTAGATTCGGATTGGAACTTTAATATTTGCTATTTTAATCGTATTATTTGTTAACGGATTGCGTAATTGGGTTGAGAGTAATTAATTGGTCGGGCTTGCCTAGCATTAGTGTTGGGCGCCATCACGACCGGGATTGGGGTCGTGACACCTCCTGAGGAGGAGATAGTCAATCTGAGTCTTTACCACCGCGTTCTGAAAAGTAACCAAATGCTCCTCCCTCTTTGAAAAGCTAGAGTTTGCAATTACCAACCCAAAAGCCTTAGCGAAGTCCAGTAACGAAGTTCCTCCTCCATTCCTCTCCCCAAAATCGAAACCTCCATGCACTTCGTCATACCCACCTGTGGTCGACCCAATATAACCATTGAAATCTCCTCCTATAAACAACTTCTCAGCAGGTGGTTCCTGACGTACAATCTCATCTAACCCCTCCCAAAAGTGCCGTTTAACCTCCTCATCTAGGCCCGCATGAGGCGCATAGGCGCTAACGACGTTTAGGGTGCACTGACCTACCACCAACTTAATAATCATCAACCTATTATTCACTCGTCTAACCTCAACCACAGACTCTCTAAGTTCCCTATCCACCAAAATACCCACTCCATTCTTACCCTTCTGGGTTCCTGAGTACCAAAGTTTATACCCGTCCGTGTCCCTCGCACTCGACCTGCCCACCTTGTCTCCTGGACACACGCTATATTGACCCTCCTCTTCTGGAGGATCTTCGCCAACTCTATAGATGAAGCAGATCAGAGAGTTTCAGAAGCAACCTTAAATCTTAAAGACTCAAAAACAAAAAATTAATTCTTATCGACAACAATTTAATCGGATCAATAATACAAGGATTAAACATAAAATTGAAACATAAAAATGGTAAAACAGGAAGTACGAATTAAAAATTAAGAGTACAATGATTAGTTTCCTTTTTATTTCCTTAACTGAGTTACTCTAGCATGTG